GGAGTACGGTTCGTAATGTATTGTGATTTGGATGGCCATGAGCTTTTCAGATTTAGCCCGGACCTTTTGCTCGGAGGCATTTCTTGGATGAGCAACCGCGTTAAAAGGTGCTTGCTTGGTGAACTCGGACCCGATCGCTCACATTTGGGTCAGCGGCGGAAGTTTGCCACGAAAGCTCAAGGGGAGTCCACATTTGTATGGGGTTTTGAGCTGAAATAGCCATCTTGGAGATTATTCGGTGCAGTTCACAGCCATACCCTTCTTAAGACCTAAAACACTAGTCTTTTTAGCTACAAGCCGATAAAGATGTCCCAACTATTTCAAGGTTATCCAAGCATGCATAACATCATAGTGACGTCATTCAAGTTGTGCCGACCCATATGCGGCGTTGCGGCGTTCAATGCCAGTGAGAATATTATCGTCGAACAGTTCATACCTGGCATCCGTAAGCACGGCTTCCAAAAAGGGAACCTCAATTAGTTCTCAATCAATGTTCAGCAGGCTTTGCAAGTTTCAGTTTTGTGGTACATGAGATAAGAAATTGGGCATAATTGCTAGTTAATATGCAAATGAGACTTAATGTCTGGCACTCCATTCTCATTTAAGTATATTACCAATGGTTATAAGTGAGCTTATTTTATCGTATGTGATACATACTTCAATGCTTCAAATATGGAGCCTTTCATTTACATGGAATGTTCCACATTTGCAGACAATGAGTTGAGCAACAGATATGATGTAAAAACCTGAGTTGTAATCATTGGTGTACTTCGAAGAACAAAAGACTGCTCTGTGGAGAAAAAATTCATTTGCAGGAAATACATCTTCAACATGTCATCGTTTGGTCACGTCATGGAACGTTTTTATGACATCAGAGCCGCTGCTAGAGTGGGACGTCAGGTTGCCACTGCAGCGGACGGGCTGACTCACTTGGAGCACTTCAACTCAGCGAGAGGTGCCCTGTTAATTGATGCGTTTGTACTGAATGACGCCGCCCACTGGTGGAGCCCCGTCCGCTCTTACACATACCCCGCAAAGGGTTCATTGTGCCGGCACAGCCTCGGCCGGATAGGTCCCCACTTCCCAGGTACATGGAGTCCTGCCCTACCACTATTCATTTTTCTCCATCACATAGCTCTGAAATGGCCACGATTGACCGAAAGGGCTCTGATCAGAATGGCCAAATAACCAAATCGCGTTTTTGTGCGTGGTGTGGTGCGTGATAAGTGGCGCGATATAGTCTGCACAGGCTCGCGTGCGCCTGGACCAGAAGCGAGATAGTTTCAGGCATTAAAAGGGGTACCTGTAAGCTGTACAAAATTATTTGTAAAATGCTTAGCCTAGATCCTAACTCCATCAAGCGTGGAACAGCCTTTTTTAATTTCTTCTAGATCCAATGTCAGCGTTTATCTCAGGGAAACCATCGTTCAGAGGGGAGTCATCAACTTGTGAGACATTCCATTATCCGTAACCTGTGCTAACATTTTATCCGATTTAGCACTCGCGTGCACCTTGACAAACGCAACTAAAAATTGTGTAACTACCATGTTATAGTATATATTTTTATATCCGACCGGCGTTGCCACTAAACTACCATTTGCATTTCGACGTGGTTGTTGTTGAATTGCATGATATAACTATCGGTAAACTGAGCGATTCATTAAAAAAAAATTAGGCAACGAGCCATAATTTTTATGAAAATACCTCCTTTGGTCAATTGCGCCACGAGAACACCTAACCTGACGTTTGACACTACGTTAAAGGGCATGGTGTTTTTCATTATTGGTACGGGGTTTCGAACTGAAATAATTATTTTAAAGACTATTCGGCATAGCTCAAAGCCTGTCCTTTTTTTAGACCTAAAACATCTTTGTTTCTGGGCTATACGCCCGCGACGATGCGCAGACATTTCGTGCAGACTGTTTTAAAGGTCATTCAGGTATACATGACATCACAGCAACTGCTTTTCAAATCCTGACGTTCTATTGGCCATGCGGCAATCAAAGCCAAAAATTATAACTGTCGATTCGCTTATATTTGGCAATCGTGAGCACGATTTCCAGATATAATTGGCTCTTAATCGATGACATGCAAGGCACGATGGCATGACCTAGCAATGATTCATTGAGGGGCATGTTTACTACACAGAAAAATTGTGTTGTATTGAGCAGCCTCTTCAGCTTAAAAGTGTGACGATAGCTACAAGCAGCTTATGTTTCATATGTAATGCTTGACTCGAAATTTCATTTGTGAAACATCTCCTTTAACACTTTTTTGAAGGCAGTAACCAAAATAAAATCTTGGAATCAGAACAAGGGGTGTCCTGTTTAAAACCCATGGGGGAGGCTGAACCGACGAGGTTGACCTAACTTAGCCCCAAACCCTGTTGAGGAATTTCGGTCGTTTTGGCAAGTGTTATAAGAATATCAATTCCTTTCCAAACTGCTTGCTGAGGAGGAATATCGTTCATTGTCCAGGCGTGAATGCAGTTCACAGAAAAACAACTTTTGACTAATTCGAGCCCTTGTGATCAACGAAAATAGGTGTGGCTCTCGGGTCATTGAAGGTGGTCCGATGCACAAAAAACAGCTTGAAGTGGAACAGCGTGGCTTGATATGTAATTTCGGGCTCACCGCCACGATGTATCTGTTTGTATGAGTAATACTAAACTTGCGCGACATTCTTAACAAACATGGCGACAACTGGAACAACAGTGTAGGTAAAGGCAAGTGACTGAATCAGTCTCCAGGGGTCATTACAAAATAGCATGACCAGTGCTTTGACACGAGTTGAAAGTTGATTTTCTTATTATATAGTGTATAATAATATCATATAGATTAATTAATATTAGCAGGAGAAACTTGAAGCTTGGTGTTCCGGGATCATGACTCGGCAAGTCTCATGTTAGTCCTGTCCGGCAATGTACTTAAGCACGTCCTGATAGCTCAGCTGACTAAAGCGCCTGCCTTAATATCCGCAGACCTGTGACGGACGGACTTCGAGTCGTTTTAGGCGTTTGCTTTTTGTTCCGACTGGGATAGCTTGTGGCCGGTGGTAGCGGCAGCATTGATGTTCTGTTAGGGGAATGCTCCTCAGTTGGACATATTGAAGAATATGGGCTTCAAACTGTAATAGCCATCGCGAAGATCATTCGGTGTGAGCCTGTACAATTCTCATCAGATATGATGAAAGAAGCTTTGTTATAAGTATTGGTATACTTTTAAGTGCACAATACTGCTCTAGAGAACACAGTTTATCTGTTTCGTTAATAGGGTATTCAATACGTCATTGTTTGAACACGTCATCATACGTAATAGAGCATTGATTGAGGGCCAATTAAAGGCGTTACGTCTAGAGACCGTGCTCACGAATGCCAGGTATGAACGGCTTGAAAAGCATATTTGTCTTGCCCTTGATTGTCGCATGGCTTATGGAATGTCGGGATTTGGATGACTTTATCATGGCGTCGTTGACGTCTGGGAGCCTTGAAATAGTCTCCCCGAAAAGTATGCACAGCTTCGCGGGCATGTGGCTCAGACACTAAAGGGGCGGCACTGTGGCCTTAGGAAGGGTGGCACTGTGAACTGCACCGAATGATCTTCAACATGACTCATTCCAGAACAAAACCCCATACAAATTTTGACCACTCCCTTGGAGGAGGGCTCCTTGAATCAGTGCAAGAAGATATTGGTTCCACTCGAATATCTTTAAGCAAGCATCGGATAAGATGAGATAGGCCTACCTGTAGCGTTTGGTATACTTTTTAGGGAGAAAAAGTTGCTCAAGACAGCTCATTTTATCTGTTAGGTAAATCAGCTCATACAAGCGTTATCATTTGATTAGGCTATTATATCTTGCACAACACTAATTGTTAAGTGACAGCTGTTATATCTGGTAATCGTGCTCACGAACGCCAGATATGAACGACTCGACGATTATGTTTTTCTTTGCTATAACCGTTGCATGGCCAAAGGCGCAGTAGGATTTGAATGACGTTATTTTGGCGTCATCGATGCTTGCGTGACCTTGAAATAGTCTCCCCGAAATAGCTTGCACATTTTCGCTGGTGTGTAGATGAAAAGCTCGCGCGGGTATATGTCTCAAGAGGGGTAGCGCTGTGAACTGCACCGAATGATCTGCAATATGGTGATTTCAGCTCAAACCAGATACAAATGTGATGCATTGCCCTAAAGGGAGTGTTTCACATTTTTATGGGGTTTTTAATTGAAATAGCCACATCGAATACCTTTCGGTGTTGTTTACAATCCTGCCCTTGTTAATGCCTTAGTGTTTGAGCTACACGCCGGCGGAGATGGGCAAATGTATATCAGGGAGAGTATTTCAAAGCCACCATGGCATTCATGGGGTCATAAAAACGTTGTTCATATCACCATTTCTGTGAGCCATTTGGTGATCAAGGCCAAGAAAAAAAATTATTGTCGAGGCGTTCATATCTGGCGTTCAGGAGTGCGATTTCCTGATATAACGGCTGTCAAATGGCTTTCAATCAATGTTGTGCAAGCTACGATGATCTGATCAAATCATAGCGCATTGAGCAGCATATTCACTAATCAGAGAATGATGATGTCTAGAGCAGTTTTTCCACTAAAAAAGGCATGCCAATAGTCATAAGTGAGCTTGTTTCACGAAATCTAAGTCTTGCCTTACTATCTTCACATGTGAAGTAACCCATTTTAACGTCAAAGGACAGACTAAACTATGCCGGGCATCGTTACTTATGCAACAAATACTTAATATTCTTTAAATGGCAAATCATTTAAGTGTTTTACTTGGCTGTATTTTGTTGCAGAGCTACACACTTGCAACAAATGCATCCCACTTAGCAATGACGGGGCTGATAAGTGGGTGTGCACACTGAAGTAAGGCTGTATATTAGGTCCCAAAAGATATGACGTCATTTGTTTTGACATTAGTCGCGCTTTGATACATATACGGTGTCGGTTTGAGATTCAGGGTGATTCCATCGCGCCGCGCCGGCGTTTATTGTTATGCTCTACGCATGTATTTCATACTTAAACATAAACGTAAAAGCGTCGTCATGACTCCACTGATCGTGGAAAAATTTGCAAGCTGCATTTCTGAAGTTTAGCTGCTGAGGACATCCAGCAAAGCACTGCCAAGCCGAGGGCCGTGTATTCGCGGTTTCACACTCAAGATATAAAGATGTCCTCAGCACTTTTACCAGTTAGTCCCAAAGTTTTTGAGGCAATGGAGAGTGTTAATGTTGCTGCACTGGCAGAGTGCTCTGAAGCAGAGATCCGCCCATTGCTGCCATGCTTGGTTCGGATGAGCCTGATAGCACCACTGGATCAATCCAATGAGTGCATGGAGAAAAGGAAAATAATCTTACGCATCTTGTCTGGCATAGAAGTTGTCAATTCTCTGGTTGCACTTCTATCAGTAAGCTTCCCACAGCTTGAAGCAGATGTCAAAAAAGAGCAACAGCTTAGGTAAGCCTGCATGCATGAAGTTAAACCATCTGTGGTGTTTCCATCATATGGTTTAGAAACTGGCCTCAAAAGATGAAATGTCTTTTAAACTCTGCTCAAAGCATTCCATCAATGTATGAGGGTTTTCTTCTTTCAAGTGGTACACCAGCATCTGTGTGTGTCAAGTGTTTAACTAGGAACATTGAGGAACTAATCTGCTCAATTTCAGAATGGCTAGTCTGGTCAGTGACATTTTAATTTTGATCCTATGGCATGATAAGGAATATTCAAAAATCGGGAGATAGAAGTAATGATTTTGGACAGCAAGTCATGTTCGGCCTCGTGAATTTGTTCATGGTCACAATGTCTATGTGATATGTGCCTAGTGTAAAGTGTAGTGTATGCTCCACATTAGTATATGCACTTGTTGACACCTCAATGTATATGATGGTGGCATTGATTTGGAGCTCATCACATGAATATGTTATTACGAGATTTTAGGTGTCCGAGCTATTTTTACATGTTTTTGTGTGGTTGCTCTCATAGGTCAAAGATGGGAGCCACAACAGACAGTGTGCTGTTGTCATCAGCTCAGGATGCAGGGGCACCAGATTTTGAGAGAAGTGAACCCATCCAAAAGCTGAAGTTGGTGCTTGCCACTCTTATTCTTGTCATGGCCCAGGTAAGGAAGTAATATCATATGCTGAACATGATATGCATGTGTATTTTACCATATAACACATCAAGAAATATTTGTGCATCTGTTTTATCAGAATTGTGTAGATGCCAACCACTATTAGCATACAATGGGTGAAAGAAGTTTTGACAAATATTTTTAAGGGGATCCATGCAGCACCATTAGCATGGTGACATTTGAGGCAATCCATGACTGCACATCCCCCCCATCTCTCCTGTAGCTAAACCCATGAAACCAGCATCCATCTACAATCCAACAAAGCCAATGTAATCCTCACCACATTTTGTGTGACACCAGCCTGCCAGGTGTGTGATCTGACACAAGCTGATCGGGCATGACCTGGCCGCCGCAGGCCCGTGACGTGCGCCAGGAATTCAGCGTGCAGCCGTCAGAGCTGCTGGACAACACCGTGCACCTGGAGGACGCGGCCGACATCCTGAGCATCGCGCTGGCCGAGCTGCCGCAGCTGCTGCCGCCGGCCGACGTCAGCGAGGGCCTGCTGCGTCTGCGGCACGGCGCCACCCTCATCTGCCGCCTAGTGGCCAACATGCCAGACGCCTTCCACGAGGGTGTGTGACGGCGGCGAGGTCGGCTGCGCCGCGCCGCGCCCCGGCCGGGCTCGGCCCAGTTCCGTACGGATACGGTTTGTTTCGCTTCTGTCCCTCCACTGCTGGTGGTACGGCTGGGGCACTGCTTCCGCGATCTCAAGGGTAGGGCGGACGGTGGGCATCGCTGTCAGCTTGCGAGTGTTTGCACTGCGTTTGAATGTCGTCAGTGATGATTTGCTCGCCTCTGCCACTCAAGGATTTGATTCACATCTGATGATGACACATCTTCACACATGACGTGTTCACCGACCAGGTGGGTGAGGCCAGGTATCGCGTGACGCTGGGACTCCTCCCACCCGCGAATGCCATAGTGCGCCCCTCTGGCGAGAGGGTCGCTAGTATGTATCTTACGGATGTGTGTCATGGACAAGTCGTATTAAATCTACGATGGCTAGTTACGCCAATGAGAAGCGCGTCAAGATGCCTCATATTATATATCATACTTATCATGAAATGTGAGCACTGCGGGACTCACCAAGTCATGAAACCTACATCGCCCACCGGTGATACTAAGACAGCTTTTAAAAGCCAACAGCGGGCTGCATCTAGTGTCTGCGGTTGGCGGTCCGTGCCATGCGCATGCCGTGCCTTACATGCGTGGGCTGTAAGTGGCATTGTGTGTGCCTTAGAGCATTGCCAACTCGCGCTTGCCATCCACACATTGTCAGCTGTGGCAACAGGCGTCAAATGACTGCATGTGCTGCGTGCTGGCCTCCTACCCCACCCAGTGAGAGCTAGGCGCCATGTGCACTCTGCTGACCCTCCACCCCTCTGTCACCCAGTATGTGTCATGGTGTGCACCCTCTGGCTGACCCGGCGCCCCTCTGCCTTGCAGTGTGCACGTCGCTGGTGACGAGCGGGGACCGGCTTGACGAAGACTCCCCCGGCGGCGCGGCGCGCATCACAGCGCTCCGCCAGCTCTGCCAGATGAACCCGCGCCAGGTGCTCGCCGTCCGCGCCGTCTGCGTGAGTGCCACTGAGGAGGGCAGGCGAGCGGAGGGTGCCAGTGTGCCATGTCGTGCGAACTGGTGCGCCGCTGGACAGAAGGGTAGGGTGGGATCAGGGCACTACCTTGATGCTTGGTATTGTGGCGCTGAGGAACGCCAGGTTTCCAGAATGTGTGTCACGTGGTGCGGTTAGTTTGGAAAGTTATGTTTTTCGATGGGGTTTGTTGACTTATCGGCTACTCCTGGGAAACAACCAGAGCCTTCCAGAGGCGGATCTTCTTCCGGTGCGTAATACCCTCTACCTGACCGACCACTGGTCACCTGCGGTTGGACCCGGTCAGCAGGCTTTGGACGCGAGCTGCGTGCGCGCCTGCGCGCCGCAGTGCGCCACATTGTGGCCGCGTGCCCGGTCCGCGGGCGGCCGGCGCGCCTCACCCCGCCGCCTGTGCCGCCGCAGATGGAGACGTGCCGCATGCCGAGCCTGGCGGTGAGTCTGTCGCTGGAGCAGGCGCGCCGCACCGCCGACACCGGCGACGCCGGTGACCTGGTGGCCTTCGTCTCCGGCATCCTGCTCGGCAACAACCAGCACGTGCGCTCCTGGTTCCAGGCGCTCGTCAGGAACGGGCAGAAGGTGTGGCCGGGGCCGGATTAGGCGGGCTGGGGGGCGGCGGCGCTGTCGGGTACTGCAGGCTGACGGATCAGGCGGCGCGGCGCGGGTTCAGCCGTGGTGGCACCCTCGGGTGTGCTGTTGTCTAGTGTGGGTTGCGGAGGTGGCGTCAGTTGTGGAGGCAACCCTCTGATCTTGTTTGGGGATGCGGCGCTGCGTCAGAGGCGTCCGTAGATGCGAAGTGACTCTGATCTGAGAATGTAGAGTTGTCTTCTCTTCAGCTGGCCTCTGCTTGAATGAGGCTATAGTGTGCAGATGGGCCGCCTACTTACGACTTGTTACGACTTGTCTATGTGCCTAATGTAATCAGGTGTCATCCGATCTCGTGTCACTCTGCCTACTCGCCAGCCGAGGGACCTGACATGACGATTAAGCCTGTTGTGCATGTCAGTCCTAACGCTGCGATCCGGACGGGTGCCCACCTACTGACTGACCTCTGACCGCGCTGCCTGACCTCTGACCGCGCTGTCTGACCTCTGGCCCCGCGCTGCCTGACCTCTGACCCCGCGTTGTCTGCTCCAGCGGAAGGGCACGCTGGTGTCGTCCACGCTGCAGTCGCTCCGGGACCGGTTGCTGGAGCGCCTGCAGAACACCCTGCTAATGGCCATGAACCAGCGGCTGCCGGACTCGGGCGTGGTGGACGCCGCCGCATCCGTCCGGCTTTACTGCGCCCTGCGTGGACTCGCCGGACTCAAGTAGGCCACTGCGGCTAGTGCGCTGCCCTCCGGCTCGAGGATTGTCAGTGGGAGACGGAGCTTAGACTCTGTGACTGCCTTTCCAGTGTTCGTTGCGACACTGACGCGTGCGTGCGTGTCGTGTCGGACATGACTTCGTGCTGCTGGGACGGGTGCAAGGGAGGCGTAACGGGCCTCCACATCCCAACTGAAGCTGCCAGTAGTGCTCGCTGTCCGGCCACGCTGCGTGCTGACCGTCTCCCTGGCGAGGCCCGCGGTCCTGTGAAGTCTTTCGCATGGGGTTGGCCGGAGTTTTCTACGGACTGTACGTGGGATAGCCCTGCGCGCTCGGTTAGCCGCGTGAACACGCTGTTAGCTTTACGGCGTGACACGCACGTGTTTGCGATATCTATGTTCAGTTCGCGCAGTCCGGTACAGTCCAACGCGTTATCTGTCCCGTGGTATGACAGTGGTCCTGTCTTCGTGAGTCAGTTGCTCCGTTCGGCCCCGAGACTACACCCTCGCCGCCCCCCTCAATGGGCGCCCTGCGCTCTTCGCCGCCGCCCTGCCGCCCTGTGACGGCGCCCCGGGGCGGTCGGCAGGTTTACGGAGGAGGAGATGCGCCTGCTGGTGCAGCTGCTGACCTCGCAGCCGCCGCCGTCGCCGGCTGGCGTGCGGTTCGTGGCGCTCTCGCTCTGCGCGCTGATCGGCTGCCCCAGCCTGCTGATGCACGCTGAGCACGAGCGGCGCGCCGTCGGCTGGCTCCGTTGGCTCGCGACGCAGGAGGCCTACTTCGAGCGGTGAGCCGGAGCCGGAGCCGGGCGGGTCGGCCTCCCGACTGACGCCCCGGGAGCTGTGGTTATCTGGCGGTTGGAGGTCCCCTGTCGTACCAGACGGTGTCCAGTGTCACGCTTATCCAGGTTCGCATCAGAGACATGGAGACCCACTGTATGAAGGGTCGGCCGACGTGTGGTACCGTAACGAGTTCCTCCCTTCTTTTGCCCGACATTTGTATTAGTTTGTCGTCACCCCTCTCCTCGTGCCACGTTATTGCCCGGTGATGTCGTGTGACACCGCCTTTGTTCTGAGTCTCGTTGACACGGTGCACGTGGCGGCCCAGGTCGAGCGGCGAGTCGGCCTCATTCGGCGAGACCCTGCTGCTCTTCGCCATCCACTTCCACGCCGGCAACCTCACTGCCATCATCGAGCTCGTCAACAACACGCTCGGCATGAAGATGAACATCCGCCAAAGTAACCTGAACCGCATTAAACATATCTTCACACATGACGTGTTCACCGACCAGGTGGGTGAGACCAGGCATCGCCTGATGCCGGGTCTCCTATCACTCGAGAATGCCACATTGCGCCCTTCTGGCGAGAGGGTCGCTAGTATGTATCTTACGGATGTGTGTCATGGACAAGTCGTATTAAATCTACGATGGCTAGTTACGCCGATAAGAAGCGCGTCAAGATGCCTCAGATTATATCATACTTATCATAAAATGTGAGCACTGCGGGACTCACCAAGTCATGAAACCTACATCGCCCACCGGTGATACCAAGACAGCTCTTAAAAGCCAACAGCGGGCTGCATCTAGTGTCTGCGGTTGGCGGTCCGCTCCATGCGCATGCATGCGCCTGCAGCGCATGGAACGGTCCTTAAGTTGGAAAGTTCGCCTGGAGAGTTTGCTGAGCTTCTTGCGCGACGCCCATTGTAGGCTGCAACGTCATGACTGACGTCATCTGCAGGTGGTGACGTCACACGCGGTGAAGGTGAAGGTGACCCCGTCGCTAAGTGCTGACATCCCGGGAACGTTGCCCGTGCACTGCGTGTACCAGCTGCTGAAGACGCGCGCCTTCACCAAGCACAAGGTGCCGATCAACGACTGGATCTTCAGGTCAGAGCCGCTTGCTGGTCCGATGGCCGGTCGCAGGTTCGGTGAAGTCCTGTTGCGGACTTCGCGAAGAAGGCACAAATGTGAGACAAGGGCGACATGCACACAAATCCGATTGACATCTAAATGCAAGAGGAAATTGGCTGCTTTTGCCTCAGTTTTACTGCTTCCACGATGTGACAGGCTCGTGCTTTTTTACCACCTTGACGTGCACGACATATTTGTTTGAAAGCCAACACCCTCAGTGATATTGGTAGCATCTTGACATGCAAGATGACGAAAATGTTGATGAATTTGTCCGCTCCTAAGACGGCCTCATGTTATGTTGTCAATCCGCTTATATATTACATTTAAAGCACGATACGATATAAATAATCAATGTGCCTGCCTCGTGGTCTGACCGCGATGTGTTTCCAGACAAATCTGCCAGAGTAAGACGCCTCTGCACCCCGTCCTCCCATCTCTGATCGACCTTTACGTCAAGTCCATGTTGGACACAACCCAAAGGCCTCAGCAGGTAAAGACCTCGTCCGCGGATTTTTTTTTAGATCGCCTGTCGAATTTTCAAAATCTTTGAAAAAGTTTTGATGCAAGCTCTCAGGTGAATGCACCCTCGGCATTTGGAAAAGTTTTCATCCGCACAAAACCTCCGTTTCCAGATCTGGAAGTGCGCACTATCATTTCCCGCGCGACTGCTTGCTTTGCGAGGATAGGTCGCGCAGTAATTCATGTTTATGGATGGTAGCGAAACAGCACTAGCATATGATGATCACAAACCTAACAGCGGATGTCTGCAAGTAGGTATGCAAGTGGGCAGGGGTCATCAGCTACGAATTTGTTCGTGAGCCGCGCTTGTGCCCGCACTGTGTCGATGGGCGCGTGAGCCGCGTGGCTGGACGCCTCCCGTGACCGCCGGCCGCCGCCGCCGCCGCAGCAGGAGCACACGAACCAGCCGATCGCCGAGGAGCAGATCGCCTCCGTGTTCAGCGTCTCCTGCTTCCCGTCGGCGGACGGCGCGCCGGCCGCCGGCTGGCTGGTGGAGCCAGCCACCGCGCAGCTGCTGCTGCTCTACTACCTGCTGCGTCACGACGAGCGGCGGCTGGCGGCGGTGCGGGCCGCTGGCGGCGCAGGGCCGCGCGCCGGCCGCCTACCGCGGCGCGCTCGTCTGGCAGCTGCCGGTGCTGTACCTGCTGCGGCTGGCCGAGCGGCGCCAGGCGCAGTACGCCCGGCCTTTTCTCGCCGCTGCTGGGTCTGCTCAACGAGCCACAGTCCACAGCTGTGTCTGGTCACACACTGGATCACCGCACAGCCCGACGAGCTGGAGGGCGCCGCCGCCGAGTGCGCGCCCCCCTCCGCCGCGCAGATCGAGGAAGGTGAGGCCCCGGCCCAGCCGGGCTCACCCGCGCACCTCGTGCCGCGGTGGATTCAGAGGTCGTGCCCCCGCTGATGACTCGTGCCGGTGATGGAGCACGCAGGGACCCACAGGCTAGCCCACTTGCTCGTGACGTTCTTTCCCGTTATGTTTTAACACTCCACGGGTGGGGTCCTCTCTCAGCGATTAAAGGACAGTGTCATGATAGTATGGTCAGGTTGCAGTGTTTTTCTTTGTAGAAAGCTTCGGCAAAACAGGCTTTCTTAAGCGCATGAATGATGTTTTTTTCGTAATGTGTAGCTTGTGAATTCTAAGCAGGCAAGAACCTTGGATGCAATAATGTTACGGGGTTTAAACGACTTGATTCGATTGAACGATTTGAAATGACGACTAGACGTACAGGTTTGGCTCTCCGCCACGTAGAATTGACTCGAATGCAAATGACTCCCTGATTGTATCACTGCTATTTCTCAAATCGACCCTCAAGCATCTCCGTGTGTGTGTGTAGGGAGGGGGGGGGGGGGTACTGCATGATTGCAAACATCGTACGCGGTTGGTGGCCTCATGTAGCTGATCGTACCATAGGTACAAAATTTCTGCCTTGTGCTGAACTCTGCGTCACCAGCTAGCGCTGCGCGCCGCCAAGCCGCGTGGGGCGAGACGCGCCGCACCCTCGGCTCCCTGCCTGGCTGCGTACGCTGCTGCGTCCAGTGGCCGTCCGCCTCTAGGTGTTCGCCGGACGTACCTGGATCGACCCCGTCCGCGTTCCTGCCCGGACCGTGCGGCCTGCGGGTATGGGGCGATGGCCTGGCCGTGCTTGACTCGCTCCGCTCCCGCCGACAGCTCTCAGCGGCCTGCCGGACACGTCTGCCGCCGCCGGTCGGCTGCTGCCGCGCCTGCTGCAGCTGCCCGGCCACCAGCTGTGGCAGCTGGCGGGCGCGCTCGTTGCCGCGCGCCAGCTGCCTGCTGCGGCCGGGCGTGTCGCGCCAGCTGCAGCAGCACTTCCGACAGCTGTGGGCGCGCCTCAGCCTGGTGTTCCCGCACCGGCTATGGGCGATGACGGTGACGGCGCTGCGGCCAGTCGACACGGAGCCGGTGCCGCCGCGCCCGCTCACCGGCGACGACCTCACCCAGGACCCGCTGCACGTGCTGCGCTGCCACCCGGCCGTGCTGCGCGCGCCGCCGCTGCTCGAGGTCGTGCTCGAGCTGCTCAACGTCTACCTGGCGGCGGTCGCGCGCGCAGCTCAAGCGCCACCTGCTGGACCACCCGTCACCTGTGCCGCCGCAGCCGTACGTACCGCCGGCCGTTACCCGCGGCAGGCGGCCTTAGGGCTCTGCGTGATGTGCCCTTGACTGTGCACTTCTTGATTGTGTTTTAGAGCTGGCCTGGTGACGTATCGTCCGCAGGTAGGCGTAGGCTGTGGAGATGTGCCCGGTCCACTGGTGTGAGGCTGTGGTTTCTGATGTCCTTTTGATATAAGCTGCTCAGCACCTCGTGCTTTGCACTGTGGTTGTTGAGTTTTTTCATCTCATGGTTGATGTGAGAAGGCAAGTTTTTGGGTTATGCTGGACAACGGACAGCAGGCGCCTACGCATGCGATGTTCATCGTCCACCCCGGTCATGGCAAGAGATCAATTTTTCTGGGGTGGTGAATGTCTAGGAAAGCCTCGTCCCCCAATACGTCAGTCATGTCCCGGCACGTACCGCCGGGTGTCGGTGGCTGCCGGTCCGCGCTCGCGCCGCTACCCCCGCCAAACCGCGGCCCGCCGCCGGTTGCAGGGGCATGCCGACGGACGCCGAGCGCGAGGAGCTGCGCAGCGCCCTGGTGCTGGCGCAGGACTCGGCCGCCATCCAGCTGCTGATCGAGGTGTGCCAGGAGACGGAGCAGGGACCCGCGCGGCGCCCGGCGGCCGCGAGCTGCTGCAGGAGGTGCGCTGTCTCGTCTGCACCTACCTCCACCAGGCCTTCATCGACAACCCCATGCTGGCCAAGCTCGTGCACTTTCAGGTGAGCGGACGCGCCAGCACGGCAAGGCAAGACTCGCCAGGTGCGGAGAGCGCCGACTGTTGCCTGCCGCGCTTCGCGTCCTGGTCGCGAGTTATGGCCCGTTGCTTTGGCGCCTCGTCTGGTCGGTGTGTCCTAGTACGGCACGAACTGGAACAGCTGATGCCGATCTCCCGAAGCAATCGTATCACATTTCACGCGAGTCTGCGGTCACGTGCGGCGGACGGGAGAAGCGTGCATAGGTAATGGTTTTGTCGCACGGTTGTCTCTGATTTTCCTTCGTGTCGGGGCTCACGCCACTTGCCTGCCAGACCTACTGTGCGTGCATGTGGCTATGTCTGCACTACAGTCGCCGTATTGCACCACCCGCTCTCGTGTCTTGCCGTTCTGTGCGCAGGCTTCAGGCTTGATACCCTCTCGCTCTTCGAGACCCGTGCGCATTGTCTGTAACGGCTCCTCTTCCTCCCCCGTGACAGGGGTACCCGGCCGAGGTGCTGCCCGTGCTGGTCGCTGGCGTGCCATCCATGCACATCTGCCTGGACTTCATCCCCGAGCTGCTGGCCCAGCCCGACCTGGACAAGCAGATCTTCGCTGCCGATCTGACCTCACAGCTGGCGGCGCAGTTCCCGATCCCGCGCTGCTACAGCACCGGCCGGCTGGTTATCAGCACTCTGACCACCCTGCTCAGCGGTGAGTTAACACCGTGACCACACTACCGAGAGGTAAGTCATCAGCACCCTGATCACCCTGCTCAGCGGTAAGTCAACACCATTCTTAGTGGTGAGTCAACACCCTGACCACCCTGTTCAGCAGTGAGTCATGAGTACCCTGACCACCCCCGCTCAGCAGTGAGTCAATACTCTGGCCGTCCTGTTCAGCAGTGAAGTCAACACCCTGACCACCCTGCTCAACGTTGAGTTAACACCCTAACAACCCTGCTCACAGCAGCCTAATCAGGATCCGTCGTCATTTCTGGATGCGTGAGGCGGACGCGGTACTCGGTGGTTATCATTCGTCGACAGGGATAATCGCGGCGTAATACGAGCCGTGGAAGCTCGGCAGGTCCGCTGCAGCCGCGGGACGGCCCACCTGTCGGGGAACGCGGCGCGCGCTGCCGAGAGTGCGGCCTGCTCCTGTCGGCCGGCCGTCCGGGTCCGCTGTCTGCGTGTGCGTGTGCGTGTGCATGACTGGCTCGGCGCCCGCCCGTGCCCGGCAGTGCTGGCCGTGGACGGAGCGGCCGCGCGCCTTCCTGCCGACGCTGCCGGCGCTGGTGCGGCTGGTGCGCGCCTTCCCGCCGCTTGGCGCGCGACGTCACGTCGCTGCTGCTGCAGCTGGGCCAGGTGAGCGCCAGCCACGCGGCGCTCGGGCGGCTCCAGCCACGACCTGGTCATCCGGCACGACAGCCGCAAGGCCGAAGAGCGGACGGCGGCGGCCGTCCAGCTGCGACACGCGCTGCCCGCCAACGAGCTGCTGGGCATCGAGCTGCGGCGCGCCTTCGAGGCCGTCTGCGAGGCGGTCACGCTGGACGGCCGCGTCTACCGTGACGGCAGCAAGGCGGCCGACGAGCAGGCGCTGCAGGAGCAGGCCATGATCTCGTGAGCTGTCGGCCGCGCAGGGACATCAGCCGGTGCTGTGGCGGACCGCGGCCTGCGGACGCAGAGGCTATCTTCTTGGACCGTGAGGTGTGCAGTGCCATTGGTCGGTGTTCTGAGGGTCAGGGGGCCTGTCCGAGCAGATGCCGGTCCCATGAAGCGTGAGCCCACAGTGACAGCAGCTAGGCAGACCCGCGGCGGTCAGGGTCCACGAGAACACGGACTAGTCCCGTGAACAAGCGTTGTACACGGACACCGCAGACTTCCGTGTCTGCTGGCACCACCAGCACTGTCCAGCTCGGCAGATCGCTCAGGGGCTGTCAGCCTTCGCCCGGGTCCGCAGAGCTGAGTACCGTGACGGCCCGGCGCAGGCCGGGCCCACCGCCGACCGGGGTAAGTCCGCCTGCCTCGCCGAAGACGACCTGAACGCGACCGCTGAAACCGCACGCTGGGAGTTGACCTGATTGACTTTGACGATGTGAGCTGACCTGTTTGGCCTTAACCGGGTGTATGAGTGGTCTGACCCAGCGCCAGACGTGCGCCAGGAGGCGCCAGTGGGCCGGCCGTCTGCATCAGCGCCGACCTGTCGTGACGACCATCTGCCTGCTGACGGCATCGCGGCGGCGGTGGCGGCCGCTCGTGATGGTCGGGCTTAGCCGCTGTCCGTCGTTGCGTCCTCCGCTGTCTGACGGTGTCGCGGCGGCGGCGGCTGCTTGTGATGGTCGTGCTGACCGCTGTCCGTCGTGCGTCGCCGCTGTCTGAACGGTGTCCGCGGGCGGCGGCGGCTGCTCGTGATGGTCGTGCTGACCGCTGTCCGTCGTGCGTCGCCGCTGTCTGACGGTGTCGCGGCGGCGGCGGCGCTCGTGATGGTCGTGCTGACCGCTGTCCGTCGTGCGTCGCCGCTGTCTGACGGTGTCGCGGCGGCGGCGGCCGCTCGTGATGGTCGTGCTGACCGCTGTCCGTCGTGCGTCGCCGCTGTCTGACGGTGTCGCGGCGGCGGCGGCCGCTCGTGATGGTCGTGCTGACCGCTGTCCGTCGTGCGTCGCCGCTGTCTGACGGTGTCGCGGCGGCGGCGGCCGCTCGTGATGGTCGTGCTGGCCGCTGTCCGTCGTGCGTCGCCGCTGTCTGACGGTGTCGCGGCGGCGGCGGCCGCTCGTGATGGTCGTGCCGACCGCTGTCCGTCGTGCGTCGCCGCTGTCTGACGGTGTCGCGGCGGCGGCGGCCGCTCGTGATGGTCGTGCCGACCGCTGTCCGTCGTGCGTCGCCGCTGTCTGACGGTGTCGCGGCGGCGGCGGCCGCTCGTGATGGTCGTGCCGACCGCTGTCCGTCGTGCGTCGCCTGTCTGACGGTGTCGCGGCGGCGGTGGCTGCTCGTGATGGTCGTGCTGACCGCTGTCCGTCGTGCGTCGCCCGGGTGTCTGACGGTGTTGTCGAGGGGCGGCGGCCGCTAGTGATGGTCGTGCTGACGCTGTCCGTCGTGCGTCGCCGCTGTCTGACGGTTTTGTCGCGGCGGCGGCGGCCGCTCGTGATGGTCGTGCTGACCGTGTCCGTCGTGCGTCGCCGCTGTCTGACGGTGTCGCGGCGGCGGCGGCCGCTCGTGATGGTCGTGTGCTGACCGCTGTCCGTCGTGCGTCGCCGCTGTCTGACGGTGTCGCGGCGGCGGCGGCGCTCGTGATGGTCGTGCTGACCGCTGTCCGTCGTGCGTGCCGCTGTCTGACGGTGTCGCGGCGGCGGCGGCCGCTCGTGATGGTCGTGCTGACCGCTGTCCGTCGTGCGTCGCCGCTGTCTGACGGTGTCGCGGCGGCGGCGGCCGCTCGTGATGGTCGTGCTGACCGCTGTCCGTCGTGCGTCGCCGCTGTCTGACGGTTGTCGCGGCGGCGGCGGTGCTCGTGATGGTCGTGCTGACCGCTGTCCGTCGTGCGTCGCCGCTGTCTGACGGTGTCGCGGCGGCGGCGGGCGCCGTGATGGTCGTGCTGACCGCTGTCCGTCGTGCATCGCCGCTGTCCTGCCTTCTCCGCCGACGGCAGTGAGTGTACAATGTTGGTCGTCGTGATGCATGCAAGTACTTTGGAGGAGCTACAGTGGTATGGCGTGAGTTCAGTGTCGATAGAACTGTACTGAGGTCGTGACCTTGGGGTGACGCCCGCTGAACAATACAGAGGCGCGTGCGCGGTAGTGTAATCTTCCTGTCGCTGTTCATTGTCGTGTTCCACGAAGCTCACACCAAACGAAACTGAACCGGTTAGATGCCAATTTAGTTTATTGGAATGCCAATACCAAGGCCCCGCAGCGCTGGGGTAATAGCGTCATCCAAGCCAGATGCCTCTCCAATGCCGTTGACAGACATAGACACGTAGCGCCCAGAAACGCCCAAACAATAATAGTTTCAACAACCACACATATTCGATACGTCAACGCACCAGGCCGGTACAGCCGTGCAATAAAATCATATGATAAGCGCCTTTGCAATACTCGACACCACCGAAAGAAGTCAAAATAGATGGCGGATGTGCCTAGAATCGAGCCGAACGGGTCCACCTACTGACTTCCTGAGTGCGGACGATTCGTCTTCCGCCCGCGGCGATCACAGACCTGTGCACAACCGGACTAGGGTGTCGGTGGCCCGGCGGACGCCGCCGCCGCGGCCGGGTGGCCGCCAGAAGGGTGCGGTGCAAGCGCGCGAGCGCGGGACGCGGCGACAAGCAGCGCCGTCTACTTGTCGTCCTCCAGGGTGTGCGTCACCTTCGAGAAGTCGAAGTCGCAGCCGAAGCCGCGCCGGAAGATGTCCAGCACGTCCAGGCACGTGGTCTCGAAGTGGCTGGTGGCGTCGTACGAGCTGGAGATGAAGATCTGCGAGCTGGTGCCGTCCTCGGCCGGCACGAAGTGGTCCGACACGGTCAGGAATCTGGCGGGGCCGCGGGTGCACGGTCAGAGGGGCGCCTGAGGCCGCCAGCACGTGGTCCGACGCCGCCAGGGGCCTGAGCGGGCGGAGACGGTCACGTGGGGCGAGGGCAGCCGGGGAACGTGTGCGCCGCGGGGCGACGGCGATCTGGCGGCACTAAATTGCAGCTGCACGGGAGGCGGTGCGTGACGGCCGCTGACGGCTTACGGCTCAGAGAACAGCCGCGACCTGACAACAGGTGGGTGCGTTCCTCCACACACTGTTGGGCCTGACACGTTCGGGAAAACATCGCATTCAGTGAGTGCGCGCAAGTCAAGGGCGACAGGGCGACAGAGACAGGGGAGGAAGGAGACTGCACGAACGCCCTACTTCTGCTTGATGGGTCCCAGCAGGTCCAGGCCGGGCTTGATCTCGGCCTCCGGGTTGTTCGTCTCCACGGTGGTGGAGACCATGGCCACGAACCATCCCTTGGCGGCCACCTGATGTGTGTAGGACACCAGCGATATGTAGATGTCTGCGGACAGACGGCCGGTGAGGAGGGCGTTGCCCGTCGCAGGTGCGGCCGCTCCAGCCGCACCGCTGACGCTCCGCCCAGCGGCGCCGAGCCAGACCACGAGGTGAACGACGACGCCGCCTCTGCGCGACACTTCGCATGCGCGCAGTGCGAACGAAGGCTGTCGCGCTGTTCGGGTGGCCGAGTGATATCGATTTTCTTCGCGTCTGGAGCTATTCCTAGCCTGTGAGGCAAGCCCGGCCGTCCCGGAGCGCTGCCGGTGGCAGCCCTCCCGGCCGCGTCCCACCGCCGGCGCCGCCACGTACCCGAGTTCCGATTGACCTGCTTCTGCGGTATGACGATCTGCGTGGAGAGCGCGTCCTTGGTGTTGGGGATGGGGTGGTCCATCAGGCCAGATGCAGCGCACCACCTGGCCGGACTGCGGCGGAGGCGGGAGGTCGGTCAGCTGGGGCCGGGTCGGAGGCTGTCGGCCCCGGCGGCACCACCCACCCACGCGGACGACGGGGCCCGCTGGACCACGCCAGACCAAGTTGACAATGTATACCAACCCCAAGTAACCCACAGGACCTGTAAACTTCGGGTCAGACCTGCCTAGTGTGCCAATGCTTGCTGGACCTGCTCGGTGATCCGGCTAACCATGCTGACCTGTGGTCCAGCATACTGGTCCCATCCACCATCCGCGGCCAGGTGCCGACCTCCAATGTCCCGTGGTGACCGCCCCCCCCCTCGGCGGCTCACCACTGACGCAGTGGACCTGCCCCGGTGACCCCCTCTGACCCAGGCGACCCGCCATCCAGTCCGGCGTCCCCGTCAGCTGACCTTGGTCACGCGGTCGGGCACGTAGCTTGGGTCACAGTAGACCTGTTTGCAGCGGGCCACCTCGGAGCCGGAGCGGACGCCGACGGCGCGGCCGTCCTCCACCACGATCTCGTCCACCGCCTTGTCCAGCATGTACGTGCCGCCGTAGATGGCCGCCAGCCTGGGGACGGGCCGCGCCTCGGTCACTGCCACGCGTCGCGGCTGCCCGACCGACGACGCGCTGGACGCCAGGCCCGGATACCTGGGTTCGAATCCCGGGCGATGCGTACTGTTTCACTGGCGCCGTCGCAACAGCTGACGTGAGAGGCTGAGGCGCTAATCACCGTGCAGTAACACACATTAATGGGAGAAGAAACCCGAAGCAGCGACGCAAGACGTGGGGAACAACGGTGCGAGACGAGCAGGGCTCGGTCGCCGGCGTGCGGGAAACTACCGCTCCGCCAGGCGGGGACCGCACGAGACAACGCCCTCCACGCCAGTGTACCACGTAGCCGACCGACAGACGTGGCCGTCACATGGCGTGGGGAAGGGGGGGGGGCTCTCCCCACGATCCTGGTGGACTACCGCACCGCGCGCAGGCCCTGCTTACACCGACGAACGGTTGCGCCCGCTGCACCACGACGTACTGCAATGCGTGACATTAGCTAAAGCGGCAGCGACAAACGACTGCTGCGGACCAAAGCCAGCCCACCATACGTCACGAACACGTGAAAAGCACTTGCAAATCGCTTTGTCCCTGGTATTTCAAGTTGCCACCCGCTTGTCTTCTGACCCCGAACTTGACAGAGCCGGCACGACGTCGGTCCGCGGCCACAGCTGGCGCCCAAGCGCAGCCTTGTTTCCCGCTGGCCGCTGCCTCCAGCGCCACAAGAATGCCGCGGCGCCCGCTCCTGGGGCCCCGGCCCGCCGCTCTCACCTGGCGAAGCCCTGCGGCAGCTCGCCCAGCCCGTACATGGGGTACAGGTAGGGCGACTTGCCGTAGCGAGCCAGGGACTCGCTGTAGAGTCGGATCCGCGCGATGGTGGTGCCGCACGGCTGGCTGATGTAGTCGTCATTCCTGCGAAGGCAGTGGCGTGCACTGAATGGTGTGCGACTGTGTGCGCCACTGTGGTGTTCACAGGCGACTAGTGACACGTCAGAGCGTAGCTCGTTACTTATTTCATGCATTACTGCAACATCACTTCACTGAGATGCACGCACAAGACAACTAGCATCAGGTAAAAGGCATTGTCTCATTACTTCATTACTTACGTTGCATTACTTAAGCGTTGCTTGACTGATAGACATGCAGAATTGTTTGAATCCTGCAGCCTCGTTCGACCAACGACAGGAGCTTTTTCACCTAACCGAACGTGGGG